GCATCCTATAGTTTTATATGTACTGGCTTTCCCCCAAAGCTGGTGTCCTGGCTATTAACTTCAACCCACTGACTTGCTATAATCATTGACTAGAGCGAGAATCCAGGTCCTTTGGGGGGTCTCACGCTTGGTGAGTCCTCTTTGCCCGTTGTCTGGAGAGGGGAGGCTCCTTTCAGATGTTCAACCCACTGCCTTCCCTACTCTCACAGGAGGTGGCTGCCAGATCGCCTGAGACACATTCCACAGAGGAAATGTAGACTCAGAAGCCCAGAAAGTCTCCTCCGCGTCAGCCAGGTTAGGGGGAATGATTGAGTGCCTACCTCTTAAAGTCCCTGATCTAAAAGCCACTAGCTCCACACTTTTTCAATATTATCTCCTTCCACACACAGCCCTAAAGATTAAATTAAAAAAAAACAAAACTTGCTTCCACCAAGGTGACTCATGGTAACCCTGAAGATTTTATTTTAAGGCAAAAATTAGCACTGCCGTTCATTGATTCCAACTCGTAGTGACCCTATAGGACAAAGTAGAATTGTCAATTCATGTGCACATATGTAAAGGGGCAAACGGCTTCATCTTTCTCCCAGGGAGCCGCTGGTAGGTTTGAGCTACTGATTTTGCAGTTTCAGACCAACGTGCAGCTCACCACGATGCTAGCTGTGCCCTGAGACACGCGACAGAAGAAGGGAAGAAAGGAGGGGAAGAAGAAGACAAAAAAATCAAAGAGAAATAAGGAAAGGGGAGGGGCGGGGTGGAGACCAGTGTTTTTCACTCATCTGTTATAGAACAAAGTTGATTAGGGAATAAAATGTTTTTCTTCTGAAACAGTGAGGTTTCATTTTCTATTTCTGAATTTTCTATTTAGGGGGTTTCTGTGTTGTTGTTATTTTGGTTCTTGTATTTCTTCTTTTTTCATTTTCTTTTAAGTTAGCCTCTAAATAGCTCTGCACATTAGGAAGAAAATGTCAAATTTGTCACACTGTGGTGATAGTGCATAATTTGGGGGAGTCACCTTGAATCCCATTTCCATGGCATCATTTCCAGCTCACAGCCACACTGCAGGTGCCCAAGGCTTACAGCAGAAGAGGGTCACATCTTTGCCCCGGGGGCCACTGGTGTGTTCAAACCACTGACCTTTCACTTGGCAGCAGAGCAACTGAAAGTGGGTTTCGATTAAGTAGCGTGCTTTTGTTTTATTACCGACAACTTAATGCAAGCAGACTCCTTCATCAATTCATTCCTGTAAGATGAATCAAATATGGGACCGACCCCCAGGAAGTTTAAAATCTAGTTGGAAGGGAAGACATTTAAATAAAAAGGAGTAGTTTTAGAGTAC